CTCCAACTCCTGGGCTCAAGCAAGTCTCCTGCCTCAGCCTCCCAAGTAGCTGGAACCACAGGTGCCCGCCACAACACCTGACTATTTTTTGGTTGCAGCCATCATTGTTGTTTGGTGGGCCCGGGCTGAATTCAAACCCGCCACCTTAGGTGTGTGTGACTGGCACCTTAGCCACTTGAGCCACAGGTGCTGAGCCCCCTCAATTCTTTTTAATAGAACTACTAAAGTAGCTGCCTCACTGTATTGCCCAGGTTCATCTTTTAGTCTTAAATCTAGCTAATAGACTTTTGCCATACTTCAGTCTTCCAAAAGCAATTCTGATCAGATTATTCCCTGCTCAAAACCTCTCTGTGATTGTTTGCCCATTGCCTAGCAACTTAATTCTAAAGTCTTCAATACCTTGTAGATTATGCCTCTAATTTGCTTCTTTAGTTCCGTTAACTTCTGTTACACACCTTATCCTCCAAGTAGAACTGGTCTGTTTCTAGAGTTTCATAAACACATTCCTTGCTTTCTGCCTCTATGTATTTTCTCTCACTATTTCCTTTGCCTGGAATACTCAGCCTTCTGTTCTGCCCTTTGGAAACTTACCAGCCTTCAGTATCAAATTTGAATGCCACTTCTCCTTTTTCTCTATTATTATCTGTAAGTATCTCTTATTCCTTAATATGAAAGACTGTGTCCTCTCGGAATTCTCTGAAATTTTAATACACTGCATTATTATGGTAAATTTCTGGTTATTGTAGTTGTTATATAGTAAGCTCTTTAATTTACCAACATTTCTATTTTCTTGTCTCTAGTTAAAGAAGAATGTAAGAGTCCTAAAGCTGAATGTCAGTCACAAAAAATATCTAATAAGCAGGTAAGCTTTCTTTTTTTTATTTTTATTTTTATTTTTTTGAGATAGTGTCTCAAGCTGTTGCCCTGGGTAGAGTGCCATGGCATCGTAGCTCACAACAACCTCCAACTTTCGGGCTCAAGCGATCTTCTTGCCTCAGTTTTTATATTTTTAGTAGAGACAGGGTCTTGCTTTTGCTCAGGCTATTGAACTCATGAGCTCAAGCAATCCACCGACCTCAGCCCCTTAGAGAGCTAGGATTACAGGCATGAGCCACCGTGCCTGGCCACAGGGAAACTTTCTTAAAATTAAATTTTTAGTAGCCAATTTTCATGCACTTGGTGGCTCTAACCGAATTTTGGAAACTTTTCAACTAAACCTGTCAAGTGTGTGGCAGGAGGTAATTAGGTGGCCTTGAGCAGTTCATTTAACCTCTTGTACCCTCAGTTTGCTCGTCTTTAAATTGAGATAAAAATGTTAATCATTGGCTGGGCAGGATGGCTCATACCTATAATCCTAGCACCCTGGCAGGCCAAAACAACAGGATCTTTTTTTTTTAATTAAATCATAGCTGTGTACATTAATGCAATCGTGGGGTACAATGTGCTGGTTTTGTATACAATTTGAAATGTTTTCATCAAACTGGTTAACATAGCATTCACGGCATTTTCTTTGTTATTGTGTTAAGACATTTATATTCTACACCTAGAAAATTTCACATGTACCCTTATAAGAAAAAATATGGAATGCTTCACAAATTTGCGTGTCATCCTTGTGCAGGGGTCATGCTAATCTTCTCTGTATCGTTCCAATTTTAGTATATGTGCTGCCAAAGCAAGCACGACAAAAGGATCATTTGAGGCCAGGCGTTCAAGACCCACCTGAGCAATAGCAGGACCCCATCTCTGCAAAAAATAGAAAAATTAGCCAAGCAAGGTGGCATGCATCTATTGTCCCAGCTACTTGGGAGGCTGAGGCAAGAGGATCTCTCAGGACCAAGAGTTTGAGGTTGCAGTGCGCTATGATGGCTCCACTGTAATCTAATCTGGGCAAAAGAGCAATACTCTGTCTCAAAAAAAAAATAAGAGGCTCGGCGCCTGTGGCTCAAGTAGCTAAGGTGCTAGCCACATACACCTAAGGTGGCGGGATCAAATCCAGCCTGGGCCCACCAAACAACAATGATGGCTGCAACCAAAAAAATAGCCGGGCGTTGTGGTGGGCGTCTGTGGTCCCAGCTACTTGGGAGGCTGAGGCAGGAGACTCGCTTGAGCCCAGGAGTTGGAGGTTGCTATGAGCTGTGATGCCATAGCACTCTACCCAGGGGGACAGCTTGAGGCTCTGTCTCAAAAAAAAAATAAATAAAATTTAAAAAAAACAATTTTTTTTGATCATTTGTAGTCACTCTTAATACATAGTGTATGTATATATACATAAATAGACCTATGCATATATTTATAAAGTAATATTGAAATATATATTTGTTTATACAGTGAAAGTATATGGCACAATGTAGCAAACCCAACAGAGTTAACTCTATAGAATTAGATTGGTATAAGAAAAGCTGAGATCATTTATGTCTTATTTTATATAGCTTCTGCTATTTGATAAGGATTATATACATTTTATAATCAAAGAATAATACATTTTGTATCTAAAAACACTTAAGATGTGTATTTATGATTTGTATACTTTTCTGTATATTATATTTTAATATGCATTTTTTAAAACTTGGTCTCTTATAGTAATGAATTTGTAAAAGATGTCTTAGGAGAATATTTGGCCCATAATAGGTTCTTAGTAAATGGAACACATTAATATTTACATACCAGTAAATGTTTTGTTACCTGACTTTTAAGCCCCTCTCCTTTTGAAATTCTTAAACTGTAATTTCCTTTCTTCTATAAAAGAGATTGACAAACTTTTTTGTATAATAGATCTCTTTGGTGAAGCCCATAAACTTTTAGGGAAGCCATTATTATGCTCAGAATGTGTTTTTAATGCTAAAATAAAATACATAAGATTTTAAAGAAAATGAGTTACATTGATATACACTTAGTGTCACCGCTATTATGGTTGTCTTAGTCAGTTTGGCCTGCCATAACAAAAATAAAATAAACTGGGAGACTTGAAAAACAAACATTTACTTCTCATAGTATTAGAGGCTAGGAGGTCCAAGATCAAGGCACTGATAGAATAATTTTTCTTTTTTTAAAAAGGCAGAGTTTCACTTTATTGCCCTCAGTAAAGTGCTGTGGCATCACAGCTCATAGCAACCTCCAACTCCTGGGCTTAGGCAATTCCCTTGCCTCAGCCTCCTGAGTAGCTGGGACTACTAGGTGCCCACCACAATGCCCGGCTAAAGGCACTGATAGAATAATGTTTTTAATGCTAAAAAAACACAATGAGATTTGAAAGAAAACCAGTTATATTGAAACATGGTTAGCCGGATGGTGCCTGTGGCTCAGTGAGTAGGGCACAGCCACATATACCGAAGGTGGAGGGTTCAAACCTGACCCCGGCCAAACTGCAACAAGAGAAAAAATAGCCAAGCATTGTGGCGGGTGCCCATAGTCCCAGCTACTCGAGAGGCTGAGGCAAGAGAATCACCTAAGCCCAAGAGCTGGAGGTTGCTGTGAGCTATGATGTCACTGCACTCTACCGAGGGCAACAAAGTAAGACTCTGTCTCTAAAAAATAAAAATATATATAAGTGGTTAGCCTCTGGTGAGGTGCTAGTGTCTGGTGAAGGATCCCTCCCTGGCTTTCAGATGGCCTCTCTTATATTGTAACATGTGGAGAGAAAGAACTTATTCTATTTATTTTCTTTTAGGGACACTGATAGCATCATGGAGCCTCCATCCTCACAATCTTATCTAAACTTGATTATTTCCCAAAGGCCTCCTAATACCACCATTCCATTGGGTGTTAGAGTTTCAACGTAGGAATTTGAGGTGACATATACAAGCAGCTTATATCAGTGATTTATTGCCTACATTCATAATTAAAGGAAATGCAAAATCTCATTTAGAGGTTAATAATGATAAAGATGTAGGTTTTTCCCCATCAAAGGTTTACAGATCCCCCCTTTTTTCTTATGATATAAAAGGGAAAATAACACAAAAATTTCCCACTTATTTAGAACACTATTAAGCGGTAACTTAATATATAAATATATTTGCACAAAAAAAGCTCATTCTTACTTTTTTATAGACTTTTGGTGGGCCTGCCAAATGTAACATTAAGCTATTGAAGAGAAATGAAAGTCCAGAAGTCTCAGAAACCCAAAAGGTTGTGACTGGTTATCCAAATGCTATTGATAAGGTAAAAGATCTTTTCTCTTCCCAAACTTTAACAGCTGGGAAGATGATTAAGTGAAAATTGAATAACCATTTATGTACCTAAACTCTTAGTTTTTTCTATATTATACTTTCATCTTCATGCACAAAATTATTTATTCTTCTAGACTAACTCTGGAATTGAGAACTTTTTAGTATCCTTGAATATCTCCAAAGAAAATGAAGTACAGTCATCTCATCATGGAGAGTCTCCAAGTGAAGAGCATTTATCGCCACAGTCATTTGCTATGGTTGGTATTTTGTAGGAGCTTTTGTACTATGCTAATTTCTGTACTGTTGGCCTTGTATATACACACCCCATGCAACTGTTCAAGCATTTTTCCTTCATGTAGGCTGGTGTGCTGCATCGTTATTGTCATCCTGTGAGGGAAACCAGGCTGTCTGGGCAATTTAGCTTTTTCTTTTTCTCTTTCTCCTTTAGACCATAGCTCCTCTGCTTTTCAAACATTGCAAACAGAAATTGGGCCAAAAGTTAAGCAGAAGAGTACATATTGTTTCTGTACTTGAAAATTTCTTTCCAGCTCTTGACTTTTGATTTTCCCTGTGTTCTATCTGCATGTAGTTAGTGTCTTAATTTTTAACATTGGAACTCTTCCAAAGAACGATCAGTAAGTTCTATAAATCTAATGTTGACTTTCCTTTCCCCACCCCCACCATCTCCATATGAATCATTTTCAAAAAAGAAGGGAACGCGGATGCTTAAAGAAATTCTAAAAATTGATGGCTCTGATACTGTGGACCACAAAAAGGAAATCAAACAATTTGGTAATGAAGTCACTGTTTCTTCTAATAGAAGAGATGACTATAGATCATCCCCACAGCCTAAACAAAATAAGAAATTAGGTAAGTAAACCATTAATAAGTACTATTACTAATAGTAAATATCATTTTAAAAATTTGCTTTAGGCTGGGTGCAGTGGCTCATGCTTATAATCTTAGCGCTCTGGGAGGTTGAGACGAGGGGGATTACTTGAGCTGAGGAGTTTGAGACCAGCCTGAGCAAGAACAAGACTCTGTCTCTACTAAAAATAGAAAAATTAGCCAAGCACAATGGCAGGCACTCGTAGTCCCAGCTATTCAGGAGGCTGGGGCAAGAAGATTGCTTGAGCCCAGAAGTTCGAGGTTGCTATGAGTTGTGATACCATGGTACTCTAGCTTGGTAGGCAACAGAGTGAGACTCTGCATTGAAAAAATAAATAGGCTCAGCATCTGTGGCTCAAGTGGCTAAGGTGTCAGCCACATACATCTGAGCTGGCGAGTTCAAATACAGCCTGGGCCTGCCAAACAACAATGATGGCTGCAACAAAAAAATAGCTGGGCATTGTGGTGGGTGCCTGTGGTCCCAGCTACTTGGGAGGCAGAGGCAGGAGACTCGCTTGAGCCCAGGACTTGGAGGTTGCTGTGAGCT